ATCTTGCTTACGTTACACAACTGATGGCTTCGCTTTGCCATCAGGCTTGTGCTATTTGCATTGAGTTATGCTGCTGCAGCCTGACAACTGCAGGATAGGAGAATAATGGCCACTTTGACCCTGTGGGCAGGGGTGGAAGCTTGACCTTAAGAGGAACGGGCATGTGGTCAGTTTATGAGTGATTAATTTTGCCCTTGAGTTGTTCCAGCACGACACTTCGCTGGAATCCTGCCACTTCCTGTAGCCAAGGCTGAGAAACACAGACAGTCCCTGATGGCCCATGTCAGAGACTGACGGCACAACCAAGCTTAGTGACTGACGGCACAACCAAGCTTAAAGCGAATGAATCACTCTCCAGTCCCACACGTTCCACTGGGTGTGACGCTCTGTTCTGCCGCTTCAACATCGGCAGGAATGACTTAGGTGAATCCAGAGAGCGCAGGCTTCTCAAACCTTCGGAAGACAGGATGCTGGAGCTGGCACCTTGGGTTGTGCAATCATGTTTCATAAAGGTCTTCACATTGACCTGAATGATATTTCTGTATCCTGGAAACCATGAGAGGAAAAGACTCTGATCCACTGGGCAGAAGCAGGGTCGTGGGTTAGAACTGAGGATGGCAGGCTAAACCGAACATGATTAAATCCAGTGAAGCTAACTTGAGGTCCTAACTTAGTTAAAATCAACTACAGTAAGATGGACAGGACAAGGCTTAAGGTAGCACATTAAAAAAACGTTACACATTGTAGGCCGAATTTCTCCAAGTATTGTTTCTACTTGGAGGTCAGAGTCGCGTACTTTTCTGCCTCCAGAAGACTCGGCCCCCCCACCCCTGGCATTTTGAAGTTAAGTGCTGCACCTGACATCAAACGAGGAGAGTGTCCAGGACAGTGGGGGAACAGGGAGATGGATTTGGGTGGTTTTTATTTTTAAAACTTTCTATTGGTTAAATCTCTAATTTTTAATTGGGCTGCCTCAGTAGATAATGATTTTCCCTGGAGCTGTTCATGTTAGGTAGCATATAAGATTTCTGATGATCAGTCATTTCTGGCCAGCAAGAAAGGTAATTTCATATAGTTTAACCTAATACTTGGCAGAAATGGTGCGGGGGAAGCCAAGCAATTGATGGTATTTCAAGAGTAAGGGACGGAAGGTGCTCTAAAGCCGGCTCATCCAAAGGAAGAGAAGGGTGATAGTAGAATAAGTACTGGCTGAAAAATCTAGAAGGATAATAGCTTCAGTTATGGCTAGATCTAGGAGCTTCTTTCGCTTTCTGTCTGTTTCTGCCCTTCTGTCCTTTGTGTTGGCTCCATTCCCATGCAATCCTGCCCCTTGTGGCTGGACACCAGCAGCTCCAGGCTTATGTTAAATCAACAACTTAACAACTCCAGCTAAGAGTCTGTCCTTACTATTAATAATTTCTGGGACTGACTCTTATTGAATGACCTGGCCCATGAACTCAGTTTTGACTCAGTAACTGAAAGAGAACATAGACTTACTAATCAGCTTGGCCTTGTTTACCCGCCTACAGTCCATATGACGGTGGGTGAAAGGAGGCGGGAGTGCAGCCAATGGGCTGCATTGAAGAAAAAACAGCTTTCCAATGGAACACGAAGGTGCTACAAGCCCATGCGAATGGTGAAAAGGACCAGTGAAGTGAGCCTGGGGAAAGTGTTCCAGGCAGGAGGAATCACTGGTGCTGGTGGGAGAGTGAGCTGGGTGGGTCTGAGGAAGAAGACCTGTGCTTCCGTTATCTGTTGCTGCAAACAAGGCACTGGACCTGATTGATTGAGAGTAATGACCGTGTTCTCTGTCCCAGTCCTGTGAGGTGACCAGACTCAGCCGGAAAGTTCTGTTCCATGCGATGCTATCTGGCTGCCGCATCCAAGATGGCGCTGGCTCACCGTGGGCAGGCAGAGAGCTCCTCAGGTTTCCTCCATGTGGCCTCCCTCCCTGTGTGGCTTCTGGTTTCTGACAGCACAGGGGCTGGATCCCCAGAGGAACATGCCAATCTTTTGAAGTCCTCAGCATGGAAGAAGTTCTAGTGTATCACTTCTGCCACGTTCCATCGGCCAACCAATCACAGAGCCAGTATAACCCAGGGCAGGCCACATAAGAAATGGTGGTAGCCATCCTGGGAGGCCATCTGTGCAGTGTGGGGAGACTGAGGCAGGCCACAGTGAAAGAAGAGTGGTGTATGATCTAACTGGAAAGGCAGGAAGGAACTGGATTGGGGGCAAGCAAGCTATGGCCCTGGACCAACTCCAGCCTACTTCCTGTTTCTGTAGATAACATTTCACTGGAACATAGCTATATTTTCTTGTTTAGAGTATTGTCTGTGAGTTGAGTTGAAAACCAGAGTTGGGTTATAGTAACGGAGCTCACAGGGCCTAACATATTGTCTGGCCCTTTGCAGAAAAGTCTGTCAAGCCTGGCTAAGGCGTGGCTGCCTCATAAGTCTTGCTGAGGGCTCTGCATTTTACTCTAAGTGTGATAAGAAAGCCACAGAGGGGTTTTAAACCAGTGAGCCGTATCACATGGCCTACATTTCAAAAGATCCACTCTGGGAAATGATTATAGGAGGATCGAGTGCGGAAACAGAGATACCATGCAGCAGGCTATGGCAATAATCCGGGTAAGATGTGACGGAGTGGAAAACAGAAAGAAGCAGGCGGTTTTGATCCATCTATTGAGAAGATGACTTTGGCACTTGCTGAGGCACTGGATGTGAGGATAAGAACAAGATAAGCTTGAGCAACTCTGTGGAAGGTGGCACACTAACCAAGAAAAGAAAGATTTGGGGAGGGCTGCGCTGGGAGAAAAGTACTACGAGGTTTTTCTTGAACATATTAATTTTGAGGTGCTGTTAGGCATCTGAGAGACAAAGTCAAGTAAGCTGTGAAGTATATGAATCTGGAGTGCTCGCTTCAGCAGCACATCTACTAAAATTGGAACGATACAGAGAAGATTAGCATGGCCCCTGCGCAAGGATGACACGCAAATTCGTGAAGTGTTCCATATTAAAAAAAAAAGAAGTACTTGAATCTGGAGCACGGAGTATAAATGTAAGAATCATCAGTAAATAGACAGTATATCCATCTGTTTTCTGTTGCTATAATGAAATACCTGAGGCTGGGTACTCATAAAAAAGTTTTTTTAGCTCACAGTTTTGGGAGCTGCAAGTCCAAACACATCACGGCAGGTGGCCTTATGGTAGGAACATGGGTGACAGCGAGAGATCACAGGGTCACACAGGAAGCCAGAGAGGGCGGGGAAGGACCAATCTTGCCACCCTCACCAAAAACTAACTGATGTCCCACAGGAACTATGCTAATTCCTTCCCAGGAAAGCAGCTTCAGTGGTTTCCTACTAGGCCTCATCTCCTAAATGTCCCATCAGCCTCTGACATTGCTACAACAGAGCTTCCACCGTAAGCTTTCAACTCATGAAACTTGAGCAAAATCCATATCCAAGACATAGTAAATGGGGGCTGGGGATTTAGCTCAGTGGCAAAGCGCCTGCCTGGCAAGTGCAAGGTCATGAGTTCGGTTCCCCGGTACCGGAAAAAAAAAAAAAAAAAAAAAAAAAAAAAAGGACAAGCCATAGTAAATGGTAGCAAAAGCCAGAGGCCTGGAAGGGACCCTTCACGGAAATGAAGTGGAGAGACCCCAGGGCCTGTGAAAACTACAGGCCATCAGTGGGAGGGAGGTCAGCACCAGAAATGCAGAAGCAGTGCTGGGAAGCAGGAGGGAGCTGGAGGACTGTGGTTTCATTTCAGGAGGGAAGGAAGGGCCCATTGTGTCAAAGGCTATGGGGTGCCCGGAGGGACAGGTAGACAAAAAAGTGACTCCCAGATTCAGTGGTATGAGGTTTCTCTAAAGCCTTGACCCAAGCAGTTTCAGGGGAGGGGACCACACACTGGTAGGAAGGATTTGAGAAAGTCTTAGGATGTGGGCAGATGAAGACAGCAAACTTACACAGAGATTCAGCTGGAGAAAGTTTGCTTGAAAATTAACTGTTCAAGGGCTGAGGATATAGCTCAGTGGCATAAAATTAACTGGTCAAAATCACAGATGACCACTGGTTTTTAGTGTTTTTGTTTTTGTTTTTTTTGTACCGGGAATTGAACTCACAAGCTTGTACTTGCCAGGCAAATGCTTGGGCCACGGAGTTATACTCCCAGCCTGCCTCAGGGTTTTTAAAGTCCTTTTCAAAACTGAGAAGATTGAGTCAAAGCACCTGCTATGTGCCAGCCCATCACTTGTCTATGAGAATTCTTTATCAGAAATCTGGGTGAAATGTAACAAAAATCTGTATCTATAGATTCAAGGAATCACACACACACACACACACACACACACACACACACACACACACACACACGAGAAAGATTACAGCCACAGGGAGATAAGTGGTGGAGATTTTCAGGTGGCTTTTCTCTACATTGCAAACCTAAAAAGCCAGCAGTTTCATTTCTGCTGTGTGAGTACACAAGCTCTTTCTTCCACATTTTCTTAAGGAAGCTTGTTTATGCAAACTTTTGAAATTTGAGGCCAAATATAAATGTGTGACCCAAAGAATAAGCAAAATTTTGTAACCAGGACATAAATGAATTCTGTATGATATAAAGTATCATTTGTGTTTCAATATTTTGTTATTTGTTTCTGGAATACACTTAGTTTCTCATGAGCAACATTCAGAATGAGAAATACTCCTCATATATAGAAAGTATTGCCATGAAGAATAATAATACTCAACTCAGGCATGGTGGTCCTCAGCTGTAACTCCAGCTACTTGGGAGACTGAGGCAGGAGGACCACAGGTCAAGGGCTGCCTGGGGAACTTAGTGAGATCTTGTCTCATAAATGAAACAAATAGAAAGGGCTCGGATTGAGTTCAGTGGTAGAGCACTTGTCTAGCATGCATAAGGCCCTGGGGTCAGTCCCAGGATTGGAAAAAAATTCAGCATAGACTATAAGGAAGACATAGAGACGTTTTCATATCCAATTCCTCTACATAATTTCTCCCAACATTTTCATACCCTAAAGTGTGAACTCTGAACCACTGTCTGTACTACTCTGTAGAGTAGCAGTCTGACGCATTAGAGCGCTCATCTTCCTGAGTCTATAAAGACGTATAGACATCATCATGCCAGCAGCCATATCTCTGTCTTTGCTCATGAACTAGTTCAGAAGCCCAGCTGTGCTACTTCTGAAGTCGTGCAATCCTGGACAACTCACTTAACCTCTGTGATCCATAGTTGCCTCACTTGTCAACTGGTGATAGTAGAGCTGCTTTGCAGTTGTATGTTAAAAACTGTCAGCGTAGGTAAAAGTCTGTGTGCACACTCCGAGTACAATAAGTGGTAGTTATCTCAAAGGACAGCATCTATGAGTATATTAATTCTCATCAAAAAGGCCAAACTATATGCCCAAATATTAAGAAGAATCCCAGGTCCAAATTATCCAAGCTCACGTTTTAAGAATGATCTTAGGGCCCTGGGGATTCTATAGCTGATAGCATCATTTTAAGCAGTTTCTTTAAGAGTCACGGGTTTTAGAAGACCATCTGTTGACGTGAAGTACCTCGCAGAAATGACTTTCCAATGTCTCCATGTTCTCTGCCCAGTCCCAAAGTTTTCAGCTTCATACAGATTTGTTCTGTTTGCCTGGGTTCTTTCTGATGAGTTCTTTCTGGAGAGGAAGGACTTCTGCCCTTTCCTTCCCTGGTTTTAAAGACATCATGGTGGGAATTGCTCTTTTGCAGAAATAACTGCAGCTCCAATCTGGAGCAATTTGCAGGTTGGCTTCAAAGGTTCCCAAAACCTCAGCTTCGATGAGAAGAGAAAGTCTGTCTCCAAGCCCCATTCTTATCTTGGTGTCAACTTGTTTCAAAACTCTGGCAAGAAGAAGGGAAAAGTAAAAAAAGAGACAGAGAAAATAAGGAAAACATGGAAACAAAGCTTTGTAAATGTGGAGGGGAAGAGGGGTTGGAGGGAGGGTAGGGGGATGGGAAAAAAGTTATACCACATACAGGTACAAATTCTCTATGATAAATGCGATTGTTGTGTATATCTAAAATGTACCAATAAAATTTAATGGAAAAGAAAAGCTCTAGTGAAGAGTGGCACTAGGGCTGGGAAAGCCACTTTTTTGTTTGGAGTAGCTGGTAGAACTGGTTGAACACAAGAACACACAGGAGCTAGACGATGGCGAACTCCAGCGGGAGGGCCCTGGACATCAGCCGTGCCCTGACTGTAGACAGACTGGCTGTCTTGGCATCTCTCATCCTCTTGGAGTGAGGAAACACCAGTAGATGTTCCATCAGGCCACTTTAAAGTACTAGCTTTTGTTGCTTTGGAGAACAAGAAAGATCACCTTAGATTACCTGTCTGAATTGCAGCAATGCTGTTTGTCCTCCATGTCTGGGACTGTCTGGGACTCCAGCTGTGGTCAGAGTGGGTGTCCTTCACGCATGGTGGTGATGCTCACCAAAAGTGCCTATGGAATCCCTCAACTTTGCCACCACAGGTTTTTAAATTTGTGTTCTTATTCTTATTCTTATTCTTATTCTTATTCTTATTCTTACTCTTATTCTTATTCTTAATTATCTCAGTAGTTGTTGTAGCCCATTCACAAAGCAGCCAAAGGGAGGGAAAGGCAGAGGGAAAGGTCCCAGCCTCAGGTGCTTTGCAGGTCTGCAGTCTGTATAGTTCTTCAGGATCCCAGCAAGGGAGAGCCAGCTACCCTCAACAACCGTTAGTGTGGCTACTGGCTTTTTCTCCACTTACTCTACCTGGGTCCTACTTCCCAGGTTCCCCTCCCCAAAATGCGTTCTGAACCCAAGACCCAAGTCTTTTTCTGAGATTTTGTTTCTAGAAGAACATAAGCTAAGGTATGCATCAATGAGCATGATGGGAGTTTTTTGGAACATCCAAAAATAAAGTTGTTTCTTGGCTGAACAAGAATGGAAAGAGAACCTGTCCCTGCTGAGAAGAGCTGCCCATCAACTGGAAATGGGAACTCAGTTCTGACTACAGGCAGCAAAGTTAAACCTTCCAGCTACCTGTGAACACAGTCTAGGAGCTGTGGGGGGCTGGGGCATTCTGGAAGCGCAGGCATTTCCTACCCCAGGCCTGGTGCTGGCAGGGCAGAGGGTGACAGTGGTGGTGCGCAGGATGCATGAATGGGGAAAGGCGGCAGGCTGAGAGGGAGACAAAGGTTCAAAGCAAGCCGGGCATGGGGGTACATGCCTGAAATCTGAGCACTCCAGGAGGCGAAGGTGGCAGGATCACATATTCCAGCCCAGCCTGGGCAATTTAGTGAGCTCCTATCTTAAAATTTAAAAAGTAAATAAAAACAAATAAAAAAAAAAAAGGGCAGTGGATGTAGCTCAGTGAGAAGGCTTAGACTTAATCCCCAGTCTCTCTCTGTCTCTCTGTCTCTGTCTCTGTCTCTCTCCTTCTCTCTCTCTCACTCTCTCAAGTCCAAAGCTGATAATGGAGGCCTGGGAAGCCAAAGCTCAGGTTATAGCTTCAGAGCAACAAGCGGGCAATACAGACTTGTGAAAGGGCCTGGGGATTTAGCTCAGTGGCAAAGCGCCTGCCTGGCAAGCTCAAGGTCGTGAGTTCAATTCCTGGTACCAGAAGAAAACCAAAAAAAAAAAAAAAAAAAAAAAAAAAAAAAAAAAAAAACCAAAAAAACAAAAAAAAACAAAACAAAAAAAACCCCCAAAAAACCCTGCAGACTTGTGAAATGGGATGTGGGCTGGATTCATTTCAGACACCAAGGGTGGAAGCCAAAGTAAAGTTTCCAGCCCTTCCGCACAAATGTGTGAGGGGCTGGCCATAGAACAAAGCCCCTAATAACCCCAGTGGATGTGATAGCACTTCTCCCATGGGCTTGACTTATTTGTCCTGGAGCAGGAGAAAACTGAAATGCAGAGGTGACAGGGAAAAAAGCAATTGGCCCCTAAAGGATACCTGCTTCCAAGGACGTGGCTTTTACTCAGGGAAAGGAAGAGTAAAACAAAAGATCAGCATTACCTAAGGGGGATTTCCAAGAATAATCAACAATAACAAAGAAATCAATCCATCACCTGCCTTCCTTCCTGCTGATTTTATGAGTTCATTTAAAAAATATTTTATGAGTTCATTTTTATCTTTCTTAAATGTGTGGGCCCACAGAGAAGATGTAGTTATAGTGTTTCTGAGGGAAGAAATATTTTTCCAAATGCTATAGCCACAGAGCAATTTGTAAAAATGATAGCAAAGTTTTATTAAAGGTAGGAAAAGAAATAGGATCTGCAGAGCAAGTTTGAGCCAAATAAAAGCAGGAAAAGAAGTACACCCTCCAGCATGAGGGTGGGCCACCATGTAAGAGAAAGACACAGTGGCAAAATATTCAATGTGGACTGTCCTTTTTAAAAAATCAATCACTCCTCAGGCTGATGTCAAATCTAGGCCATTCTATTGAAAACCTGCTTGAGTTCTTATAAAAAGTCCATGTGCAGGGCTTTGGGAAATGTTCTGTGCATGTGTCCTGGGATTTTGTAATTAGCAGATCACACTGACATCTCCAACCAGTTTTGCCATGCCCTAATCTCCCATCTCATTTCCCCCTGAAAAACATACCCTCATAATTCTTTATGAAGTGCTGAGAGAGTGGTATCTGTCTTTTATAGCTTCTTCTGGCTGGAAGGGGCTGTAGACTGTACCTACTGGGGATTCTATGCTCTCCAGTTACCTTGGGATGTTGTGATCACTGGATGAGTTGAAGAAAAAAAGTCTTAGAAGACAAGGAGAAAAGAGTGAATGACTATTGAGCTGTCTGTTTGATGGGAGAAAAAAATTAATTTTGCTGGTTGGTTTTTCACACTTCTTGTGGAAGACAAAGTATGGCAAATAGGGAGGTTTAATAAATTATCAAGAGTCTGAGAGCACAGCCTTGGCAAGATCACCCACATAATGGATCTAATTAAAAACAGGAGTCTCAATACAGGTGCCCATTTAAGCTGTGGTGAATTAGGATCATTAGTGACTCTACTTACCTGCACCTGGAGCAATACTGGTGTCTTGCTTTCTGAAGAGCAGCCTCAGGTCCTCCACGGGTTCTGAGGAATCTTAGTCCTGTGAAAATTCTAGTGACCATTTCCCATGTAGGATTTTTTTTATCTTGTCACTGCATCCCTTGAGGAAGGACCAGAATGGTTCCTCAGGAACTGGGAATAAGATTAGGGTCCTGAGGGACTGTAGGGCTGCCCTTCTTGCCTCCCAGCTGCCTTTTGATTTTCCAAGGAGACTTTAGACATGTCTCCCTAGGACTAATTACAATGCATGACTGCTACCTGCTTGGGAGGATGGACTGGCTTCCTGGTGGAGAGACAGAACTTCGAGTTGTCCTAAAGTCTTCCTCTGTTAGCATAGCTGTAGCTGCTACTCCCTCAGGCAGGGTGGCTATCCAATGCCACTCCATCTCACTTTTTTAAAAGTATGCCACTGGGCAGAGTTTTTGTCCTAGCCTTTGGGTCAAGACACCCAAACTATTCCTCTCTTCTGATATGTAGAGGAAAAAGGGTTTTCTTAAGTCAAATATTTTATTTATTCCATGCAGGAGGATCTACTTGTTGGCTAATTGGATCAGGGAGACCTGGCATAGTCCCAACAGGCAAAATACATTTTGGCCTTAGTTGAAAGTTGAGAAATTGTCCCCAGTTTTGCTGGTAAACCTCTTTCTAGCAAGGGATTAGGATGCTGTAGGACAATTAGAAATTCATCTTTAGCTGGTCATTGTGGTGCATGCCTATAATCCCAGCACCCAGAAGACTAAGGCTGGAGGATCACCATGAGTTTGAGACCAGCCTGTACTGTACAGCAAGACCCTGTTTCAAAAGAAGAAGAAGAAGGAGGAGGAGGAGGAAGAGGAGGAGGAGGAGGAGGAAGAAGAGGAGGAAGAAGAAGAGGAAGAAGAAGAAGAAGAAAAAGAAGAAGAAGAAGAAGAAGAAGAAGAAGAAGAAGAAGAAGAAGAAGAAGAAGAAGAAAAGATAAAGAAACACGTGTTTAAATATTCAGCCTTCAAAGTGCCATGTCAGAACAGGAGTAAGAAATTGCAAACTAGGGGTCCCCTTGACTTCAACTATGGCTACCAATTTAGAGGACAGTTTTCCAGAAAAGGAAGTCAAAATTGTATTGGCTCATCCATGATGTCCAGCATTACCCAGGGTTCCACATAGCAGATGGTAATATTCATGAACATGGAAATTGTAGGTTCCCTTGGGCCTCTTCAGAGTAGGAAGTGAGGGTTGTGGCTGGTCTAGTCCCTCTCTGAGAGACAGAATAGTCAATCCTCCAGGGCCATGAGTCAGACACATTGGCTACCTCACACTCAGAGCAGGGCCCAGGAGGTAGCTTGTTTCAGTCGTGTGCCCAGTGTCCAGACTTCTTGTCTTTAATGATTCTTGTGATTTCCCTTAGATGATTTGTGTGAATTTATAGCATTGCCAATTGCAACAGCTTCAATTCTACCTTTTCTCTTCTGACCCTCCTCCAGATCCTAATTGTTACACACAGAAAGGGCCATGTCCAGTGATTGGGTCTGTCAGCTCACTCAGGGGGCCTAAAGGAAATTTTCACAGGTGAGGTCCCTGGGTTAAAGAACACATGTGTGCAAGACAGTAGCAACAACACCAGACAGTATGGAGCAGAGCAGAGCACAAGAGCCACCTGCATCTTCATTGTACAATTCTTATACAGGTTGTTGTCATCTATTTACATTCTTACATGCTAGCCTGACTGGCACATGTGTAGTTGTCCACTGTTAAGTCATGATTATATAACTGTATCCCACTGTGTACTTGTGCTGGAGAGTGAGGTCATGTCCTTAGGTATCCTAAAGATTCCCCTGAGCTTTGAGGAATTCTGAGTGGTTCCCCACATCCCACCTCCTCAAAGGTTGGGTGTATATAAATGTAACATTTTATATGTAAGAGGGCATAAGTACCTCCTTGTGCTGCAGTCAGCAAAGCAAGAACCCTGTGGCTTTGCAAAGCCATTTTTCTCATTTGAGCAGTCTCATCTACAAGCAACATCAAAGCCTGGCATGTAACAGTTAAGGCCTGGGCCATATATTGAGCAAGGGCTTCAACCTGAAGGGCTAGGTTTATGGTCCTCACCCCTGGTCAGATGCTATTCCTAGCAGTCATTGCAATGCCTTTTCAAGGCATCTGCTAAGTCATTTCCCAGTAAGAGGAGGGGCTTATGTCCTGAAACATGATACACTACATGGTAGTGTCTTGGCCATGCTCTTATAAGTTTTACCATAGGTTGGCACCCCACAAATCACAGTGTCGTATCTATGAGTCTTGAGCTGCTGAATCCAGAAGCCAGAGCATCAGCCAGAGCTCCTTCTTTTCCTTCTGCATAGGGCCTAGGAATCAAGTCCTGCAGTCTTTCCTCCCAGACAGGCTCCTGGGTTGTGTATGTTGTTATGGTTGATACATTGTGTGAACTTGGGGAGTCTGGAGGTTTGGCTAAGTGATTCAGCAGGATGCCAGGGTGCTTACTTTGTATACATCCTGAGCCTGTGGAAGAGGAAGGCATGGAGATTCTGTGAGTGCTTCACCTCCCTTGGGTGGGGGTAGCCTGTTTACAATGTAAGGGAGTGAAAGAGGCCGCTTGCCACAATTTCCCCCTTTTTTGCTCTTGTTGCTTTGCTGTGTTCTGCCACCATGAACTTTTGCCCTCTGCCATGAGCCAACCTGCCTCGGTGCCAGCCAAGAACAGACTGAAACCTCCACAAACTGTAAGCTAAAAAACCTTTCCTTCCTTAATTTTGGGTGTTGGGTATTTTGTCTCAGCAACGAGAGAAGAGTAACTAAGACATATGTCATGGGTTCTAAAACCATTGTCAGTTTGGTTGCCAACAGGCTAGCCAAGAAAGAGGCCCGCTGTTGGAAGTACGTCCCCCAACATATGAGAGTGGGGCCTGTGCCACTCCAGTCCCGGGATGGGCTGTCCACATCTGTACCCAGCCCTCTGTTAGGTATTTTTTCTGTGCTTTTGCTGTTTGTTGTCCTGCAATGCTTTCGCAGGCATGCAAAGCAGCATATACTGGTGCACTCCGTTTCTCAATTAGGGAATATCGGCTGTTGGCTCCTTTCCGCAACTGTTACCAAAACCCAGCAGGGTGCTTCCACTTCCCCTGTTTTTGCCAGAGGCCCCAGCCAAATCCATCATCATCCACGCTGACGGTTAGGATAAGTGGCAGGTTAGGGTCACTGACTCGTGGGACTTGCACCTGTCCAATAGCCCCCTTTGAACCCTGAAAAATAGCTTCCGCTATATCTGTCCAGTCCCATGGAGCACCTTCCCAATCGCCCAGTAGGAAGGGAGTAGCAGCATAGCTAGGTGCAGTATGAGCATCTGCCAGAACCCTGGCGAGCCCACACACACCTGTGCCTGGCACACTGTCACTGGTCTGGGGTACACTTGGATCTTATCCGTAACAGCATCAGGAATTACTTTCATTTTACCCGACCAGATAACACCCAAGAATCTGACACATGAGCCAGGTCCCTGGACCTTGTCTTCATTCACGCCCCCTCCCCCCGCCACACGCCAGCAAAGCTTTCTTCAGGCCATGTGTGGTGGCTTCCGCATCTGCAAGGCAATCAGAGGTTAACATAATATCATCGGTATAGTGAAACAGTGACACAGAGTGTGGCTTGGTCCTGGTGGCCAGGTCCTGGGTCATCAAGGCATGACACAAAGTGAGGCTATCTTGAGGCCACACCTAGAGGGTCCACTGCCTACTCTCCCAGGTGAAGGCAAATTGATCTTGACTGTCAGATGCAATAGCAATGGAGAAGAAGGCATTGGCCAAATCCATGACATAATGGTACTGACCTAGTGTCAGGGTGAGACAGTGTTGGGTCTGCAGTGTTAGGCACTGCTGCATGCAGCAGAGGAGTCATTTTATTCACTTCCTGGTGATCCATAGTCATTTTCCAAGTCCCATCTGGCTTCCACACGGGCCATACCAGGGAGCTGAAAGGACTCTGTGCAGGGCATATAAGCCCTGCTCCTTTCAGTTTCAGGATAGTCTGTCCTATCTCCTCGTGTCCTCCAGGTAGCCGGTACTGCTTCATGAAACCTGTGTCCTGTGGGAGAGTCAGCACTTCATGGTGTGGACAGCCTTGGACTATGGTTTTTACCACAAAAATTTGCAGCCAGAATTCTTCTTGTGTGGTGTCAAGCCAATCACCAGTCAGGATGTCCACCTTCATATGTATTCATCAACTGGGGAAACATAAACATCATATGGGTGTTGGGGCAGGTGCCCAGTACCCAAAGTCACCTGGGCCTTCTGGACCGTGATGTAGTGACCTCCATACCCTTCTACCTGTGCTGTAAGTCCTGTAACATCGTCTGGGTTACCCTATATTAGTGTTGACTCTGCTCTGGTATCCACCAATGCTAGTACATCCTGCACATTTTTGGGGGGCCAGTAAACAGTCAATTTCACATGTGGCCTCTGGTCTCTTGGCACCTCCACGATCCGGGTACCTTGGCCTGTCTCCTAATCAGGGTAAAAGGAGGTCAGTATCACTTCTTCCTGTTTCACCAGGGCTGCTTTGGCTTTCTGGCCTGGGCCCTGTGCTCAGGGCATACCAGCCTCCACAGAGTCAGCCACACATCCAAAGTTTGCCCCTCTAACTTATCTGCAGCTAGGCTGGTGGCCAGCAGGTCCTCCCAGTTCTGGAGCCAACCGACCTCAGTGACCCTACAGCCTGTCCTTGGGGGGATGGTCTCACTCGCCTGGGCTCCCTCTTCTTTTTTTGTCTTGCCAGTACAATTTGTACAGGTCTCACCTTATCTTGATGCTTTACTTCCATGTCTCCCAGCCTGGCCAAGGCATCCACACTGTTATGGAAGGGGTGATCTGTTCAGGGGGCTGGAAGGACTGCCACTGACCCACACATGCCAGCTGGCCCACTTGCCAGGATCACGTCCTTCCTGTGAGCCGTCAGCACTTCCTCATCTGGGCTACGGTACTGCAGTGTGAGCATCATTTGCCGCATGTTCATTTCATGTAGAAGTTATCAAGTCCAGATAGGTGGTCCATTTAGTGACTTGCTCTACCAGGTCACCCTGATTTTCCTAAACTAAGTGAGCTACTGCCATCAACCAGTTTATCACAGACTGATTACTTGCTTCTGGAGGAGGCAGAGCTTCCCACACCTCACAATATTAGCTCTGCTGCAGCCAGCCATTGCTCAAGGTCCTCCTCTATCTCCTGCAGCTGGTCTACTTACAAGACAAGGCCATCCACCTCTTGATTTATGTGTCAGAGAGAGTGAAGAATAGGCAAGCCACCCACCCTGCCATTTCACAGTGAGGGGAAGAACTTGTCTGTCTTTCACTTCCAAGGCTCTGGTATCCACCAATGCAAGACATCTCCAGGCTCGAATAGGACTGATTCCCAGTCCTCCAGGGCTTTCCAAGCCACCAAGAAAGTGGCTACAGGTAGCCATGGAAAGGCCAAGGGTTGCTTATCAGCCATTCCCTGGGGCTCTCCCTTGCCTTCAGGCGGTGTTTTAACAGCTGTCAGAGGACCACTCACTTTGATGTCCTGCTAACTACATGCCAGTTGTTTGTACTGGGGCAGGGGGTGGGGGAGCGGGTGCCCAGGGGAGATTTTCATGCATGAGGTCTCCAGATTAAAGAATGCATGTGTGCAAGACATCAGCAGCAACACAAGACAGCATGGAGCAGAGCAGAGCACAAGAGCCACCAGCATCTTTATTGTATAATTCTTATATAGGTTGTTATCACCTATTTACATTCTTACATGCTAGCCTCATTGGCACCTGTGTAGTTGTGCACTGTTAAGTCATGGTTATATGACTGTATCTCCCTGTATATTTGTGCTAGACAGTCATGTCCTTAGGTGTCCTTAGATGCCCCTGTGCTATAAAGAAGTCTGAATGGTTCCCCACAGGATTATAGATGTCTGGAGTCCCATCTAAAGTTTCTTTGTTAAAAAGATGAGAGAGACCATATGCCCCTGAGAGGCAGGTGGGGATCTGTGCACAAGATCATCAAAGATATCTCTCTCTTCCTCAGGGATCACTTTAAATACCATAGTTTCTGGGATTTCCCTGAGATAAAGGGTCACAAAAGCCTGAACATAAGGGAAATCACTTCACCTTCTATGTTTTAAGCAGGAACAATTTAACTGAAACATAATCTTATAGTTTAAACTGGAATCTTGTACCCATGTTTCACTGTTTCCTAGTTTGTACTAAAATGAAACCATATAGCAATCAACATTAACTGTTCCTTTTTAAAATTGTTAGGGTCATACCTTTTCCACTGATCAAGGATATGGCCTAGTGGCAAAGTCTGTAGAATCAACAGAACGTGGTTCATGAGGCTTCCCATGGCTTGTCTTGGGGCCTGTGGTGAGACAATTAGGTCTCAGGTCCTTAAGATAGCATCTCACTGCAGAAGAAGGAGACCCGATCAGCCCACAAATCATCCCTTGTGAGACTCAAGTAGTCATTAGACAGGCATCTGTGTCTGAAGCAAGGATGATGCTGGTGTCTTTCACAGAAGCATAGAAGAAAGCTCTACGGAGGGTTTTTGTCTCCATCCTGGGGCCTGTTGTGTCCTTAGGGAGAGGGGATTGAGCCACCTGATGGCTCTACCTCCCCCTTCAATACTCCCATTAGGATGAAGTCCCTCCCCACCAGGACTCCATTAGCCATTTGATGGCTCAGTTTAAGCAGGGTGGAGCCACTTGGGAAACAATACCTTGGGACTCCCTTAGGCATGCTGAGCCATTTGATGGTTCTAGAGTGGTACCTCAGTCCATGAACTCAGTTTTCCCCACAATTCTGGTTGCACACTGAACTAGACAAGAACCAAATCAAATTTCCCCATAAGGTCAACATTTAATCTAACCAATGAATTTGATTTGGTTCTCATTCAACTCGGGTTGTAACCAGAACTGTGGAAAGAATATCAAGTTTGTGAACCAAGGTACTACTGTACTTGGGTGGAGGCACTTGAAAACAGGGTGGAGGCACTTGAAAAATATTATGCCTTGCATTTACCCTAACAGTAAAAACCTCAGTACTTTAAGTCAGTAGAGATGGAAACCTCTTTTTTGCAAGAAAAAAAAAAAAAAAAAAACCTTTAAAAATCCTAAGAGGGGCCAGGGATATAGCTCAGCAGCACAAGTGCCTGCCTGGAAGCTCAAAGTCCTGAATTTGGTTTCCGGTACTAGAAAAAAAAAAAAAAATCTAAGAATGAGAATAGCTCTCCTTCTCACAATTTCTTGAGCTAAGCTTCACTGGCTGTTCTCTTGTTTCCTTCTGGCCATTAGGCACATGTCTCTAAATGCATTTTGAAAAAAACAGGAAGGGAGACAGACATGGTGGAAGCCACATGGCTGATCCAAAACAGGTAGCCAGTCACGTGACAAGACAAGATGGTGGCCACCGTATGCGACACAGACGAAGACAGGACCCTGAGAAATAAATGGTCATCTAGGGAAAAGCACAGATAGGACTATGAGCACAGAAAGGAGTAAACCGGGGTGGGTGGCTTATTTAGGGAGGCTACCAAATTACCAACAGATATTTTCCCCCCCAAAAGTGAGAAAGCTGACCAAAGTATTGTGGAGAACAGAAATATGAGGTCATTTTAGAAAGAAGCACAGCAAACAACAAAAAATGTGTCCCAAGGGCCTTATCTGGTCTCCTAGCTGGCTTGCCAAATATGTTACTGGGTTTTAGGTGCTGGAATCTCTTTCTGGAGGTGGTTTCTAGGTTCTTTCTGTCCCGAGCAAATAATTGGCTTGTACAAGTGCAAGTGGTAGTGAAGTTTTTTTAAAATTTTTTTTTATTTTAAAGAGAGAAAAAAACCCACAAAATTTCAAAACAGGACAATAGTACGGTAAGGATGGTTAACACACTGCATATTGCTATCTTTAAATTAGTTACTCAGAGTACAAGATATCAGCATTTAATTGTTCAAATAATATTAGCACAAATCTTTCTTTTTAATGACCTAAGAGAAATTAGTAGTATAACTATCTTAACTATCATATCTATCTATCATCTATCATCTATCTATCTATTATCTATCTATCATCTATCTATCTATCATCTATCATCTATCTATTATCTATCTATATATCTATTTATCATCTATCTCTCTATCTATCATCTATCTCTCTATCTCTATCTATCTATCATCTATCATCTATCTATCTATCTATCTATCTATCATCTATCTATCATCTATCATCTATCTATCTATCTATCATCTATCTATCTATCATCTATCTATCTATCATCTATCATCTATCTATCTATCATCTATCTATCTATCTATCATCTATCTATCTATCATCTATCATCTATCTATCTATCATCTATCTATCTATCTATCTATCTATCTATCTATCATCTATCTATCATCTATCTCTCTATCTATCTATGTATCATCTTTTCGCTTTCCCTTTCCGTCATTTCTCCATTTCCGCATCCCAGTTTCTCTTCCTTTTGAAATTTCCTCCCATTTTACAATATCTATTATACATTTTGGATCTTATTTACTCTTTTAGCTTCTCACACTAGGGCAACAATAAGATTTTTACACATGTGCATCTGATTTATTTCACTTGTGAATGTGGTCTCGAGTTGCATTCATTTAATCTATAAAAGTCTTCAGTTTATTCTGCTTTATGGCTGAGTAGTACTCCATTGTATAAAGAGACCCCATCTTTTTTATCCATCCTTCAGTTGATGGGTATTTGGGTTGTTTTAAAGATCTAGCAGTTACAAATTGTGCTGCTATACATGTGGGTGCACATATATCACTGTGGTATGATGCTTTTAGTTCTTATGGGAAGATACCCAGAAGGAGAACAGCTGGGTCAAATGGGATCTCAATCCTAGTTTTTTGAGGAATTTCTATACTGACTTCCACAGTGGTGTACCATTCTACCTTCCCACCAACAGTGGAGAAGGGTTCCTTTTTCCTCACCAGCATTTGTTATTGGTTGATTTCTTGATGATAGCCATTCTTTCTGGAGTGAGATGGAATCTGAGTGTTGTTTTAATTTGCATCTCTTGAATGACCAGTGATATTGAACATTTTTTCATATATTTATTTGCTGTTTTTATTTCTCCATCTGAGATCATCTCAGATGCCCATTTTTGGATTGAGTCTTTAAATTTGGGAGGTCTGTTTTTTCTGGTTCTTTATATGTTCCTAATAG